CATTACTAGTTGAAAGCAAAATTCCAAACATGGAGCAGAATACATTTATGACGAAATTAGATTTTTTAATTTTTGTTACTGGACATGTTTAATAGCAAAAAGTCAAAAATATTGCTTTTTTCTGAAAATTTGCAGTCATTTTTTTTCATAGCGCAAAAAATAAAAAACGCTCAGGCAATCAAATACCACCAAAAGAAAGCTCAATTTGTGGGAAAAAAGGGGTGTAAATTTCATTTGGGTGCAGTGTTGCATGACCGCGCAATTGTCCGTTAAAATAACGCAGCGCCGTAACGTTAAAAATGGCCTGGTCAGGAAGGGGGGTAGATCCTCAGGAGGGCAAGTGGTTAAATCAACTTCTGTCAAAGGGACATGTTGGAAAATATTGCCATAGATCAGCAGCTGCAGCAATGTACATCAATGTATAAAACATGGGCATATAAACCAAACAGCGGGGGCCGCAGCTCCTACGTCACTTCCGGACCCGGCTCTAAGTCACCTGGCTCCGCCTACACGTGTAGCGTCACATCACATGACTTCCCCAACAGAGAAGTAGTGGAGAGGTTCATGGTTTATTGTTTGCCATCAGACTGAATCGATACTGTAACCAGGGACACTTATTATCTGTACAGGACACTTTTGTTTTGACACTTGATGTTTATATGGTAATACATTTTGAGTCGATATATTGATTCAGACATGTACTCGGGGAGATATTTATGTATGTCTGCACGGGGCTTGCACAATAATTGTACATTCCAGGACAGGAAGTGTGTTAGGGCTACAAAACACCTCCCCTATTCTCATCTCTATAACATAGGTGAAAGGTGTCCTGTAATCCACATAGAGAACTGGGAACAATGATAATAATAAGAGTCAGCAGATTCAAGAAGTTATCAGCTCACAAGATTTCTGATAGGATCAATAGGTATTCTGTTCACTTATTGAACAAATAGAACAAAATATATTAACTAGTTTCCTACCGCGCTATAGCCGAAGGGCGGCTACAGTGCTTTTGTCTGGTTCTTGGTCCATGGACGTCATTCCAGAATACGCCCCCTGCCCTCCCCCAGCGCGGACACAGCTGATTACAGGATACGGTAAATGGCCTTTTACCACTTGATCAGCTGTATCCAATGACACAGCAAATCACCGGGTAAATACAGTTGTCGGTTATCGGCTGCAATTTCCTCACACTGTCACAGCATGAAAAAAGTACTGCCGATAACCGGCAATTGTCAGAGAAGTGATCGGAACTGATCATCAGGGCACTAATGATCAGTGCCCAGCAGTGCCGCCCACCTGTGCCATTCACCTGTGCCCATCAGTGCCGCCAACCTGTACCCATCAATGCTGCCCACCTGTACCCATCAGTGCCACCCACCTGTGCCCTGCAGTGCCACCAAGCAGTGCCACCCACCTGTGCCCATCAGTGCCACCCACCTGTGCCCTGCAGTGCCACCCACCTGTGCCCTGCAGTGCCACCAAGCAGTGCCACCCACCTGTGCCCAGCAGTGCCACCCATCAGTGCTGCCCAGTAGTGCCACCCATAAGTGCCGTCTATCAGTGCCTCCTATCAGTGCCCATCAGTGCTGCCTATCTGTGCCACTTCATCAGTGCCCATTAGTGCCGCCTATCAGTGCCCATCAGTGCTGCCTATCAGTGAAGCCTCATGAAGGAGAAAAATTACCTGTTTGCAAAATTTTATAATAGAAACAAAGAAAAAAAAAAATGTTTTCCCATTTTTTGCTCTTTTTTTGTTTATAGCGCAAAAAATAAAACACACAGAGGTGATTATCAACAAAAGAAAGCTCTATTTGTGTGAAAAAAATTTCATATGGGTACAGTGTCGCATGACTGTGCAATTGTCATTCTAAGTGCGGCAGCACTAAAGGCTGAAAATTGGCCTGGGCAGGAGGGGGTATAAGTGCCCTGTAGGCAAGCGGTTAAATGATTTATATGCTGGACCAAATGGGAGAAAAGTGAAGTTCATTGGTAGGGAGGGTATTCCTGAGGCTCTTTTCAACTCTTCTGGATCAGTTCTGCCAAAAACATCCACTTTGTAGCTTGGAACCAGGGGCGACTGACCATTTGGAAACTCGGGCACTGCCCCAGGGCCCGGGGTCAGTAGGGGGACCCATGAGATGCCCCTGGTACCTTTTTCATAGGCTTTTTTGAGTTTGGGCAAGGACACAGGGGCCCCATGATCCCCTATTACCCAGGGGCCCCATAAGTTGTCAGTCCGCCCCTGCTTGGAACATGGCATTGGATATAGGGGAGCAGAAAAATACCACCAAACATGGATAAAAAAAAAAAAATCACAATGTGAACAAAGTATAGAAAAGACCAGATATGAATTCCAACGAAGTTTAAAATAATATTTCGATAAAGCCAAGCATTGCAATGTAAGGAACAAGGAGAATACAGAACATCACCAATGACAGAGAATCATTCTTTTCACAACAGTTGAGTTCGTGATAAAGGAAGACCCTGCCCTTCGCAGGGTGCAGCCTTCGGCCTCAAGGAAAACACATGCATGACTCACTGCGGGGAAACGAAACTAACCGTTCAGCATAGTCATCAGATCTCACATACGAGGGACTTCACCAGATCCTGCGCACTCTAAGTTTTATGGGTAAGGGGGATTTCTGTTAAATATGCAAATGATTGACATGAAAACTAGCCTATGTTTTTTCTGTGGGTTTTTCTTTTTGAGCAAGAAGCTAAACTGTGTTTTAATGTAGATCTTCAATAAAGTCGAGAATTCTATTTCTGCTAGTTCTTTACTGTAACTCAGATATAGATATATACAGGATATATTATACAAGTTATGTAGGTTGTATGATACTGTATTGTTTACTCCATAATATTACTAGTATTTCTAACTCCGATACACTCCTGTCATTGATCTGTACATTGAAAACAGCTGGAAAACGAAAAGTAGAACTACAGGGATTTTTTTTAACATTTTGGAATGAGTAAGGGAGGGTTGTGACTCCTGTCAGTTTTTATTTTGCCATCTGTGATTTCCCTTCATGTCTTGTCCTATATCCAAAACGAGAAGTAAGAGGAGACCCTCCAATCCTGGTGGTCATAAGGGTCCCCAGAAACAGCATCCCCACTGGAAGATTTTCCCTCTCTTACTGTTCTTGTAACCTAAAATATGATTTCCTTTCACTTTCACTCTCAGTGTAAATCCAAATAGAGAGGGGGAATCTCCCTACCGTGGGTACAGACAGCACTGCAAGCCTGACAGGTGTTGTAATCCCTCTCCACTCTATCCAAAACTAAAAAGGTTTGCCTTTAGTTGTATACTTTAAAGTGTTACTAAACCCCGGACCCTGCATCCACTATATCTGGTCTCCCCGGACCCTGCATTCACTATATCTGGTCTCCCCGAACCCTGTATTCACTATATCTGGTCTCCCCGGACCCTGCATTCACTATATCTGGTCTCCCCGGACCCTGCATTCACTATATCTGGTCTCCCCGAACCCTGTATTCACTATATCTGGTCTCCCAGAACCTGGTTCACTATATCTGGTCCCCCCCGGACCCTGCATTCACTATATCTGGTCTCCCAGGACCCTGCATCCACTATACCTGGTCTCCCCCCGGACCCTGCATTCACTATATCCGGTCCCCCAGGACCCTGCATTCACTATATCTGGTCTCCCTGGACCCTATCCACTATACTGGTATCCCCAGACCTGCATTCCCCTCCCAGGACCCTGCATTCACTATATCTGGTCTCCCAGGACCCTGCATCACTATATCTGGTCTCCCCGGTCCCTGCATCCACTATATCTGGTCTCCCCCGGACCCTGCATTCACTATATCTGGTCCCCCCCGGACCCTGCATTCACTATATCTGGTCTCCCGGTCCCTGTATCCACTATATCTGGTCTCCCCGGATGCATCCACTATACTGGTCTCCCCAGACCCTGTATCCACTATATCTGGTCTCCCCGGACCCTGCATTCACTATATCTGGTCTCCCCGAACCCTGTATTCACTATATCTGGTCCCCCGGACCCTGCATTCACTATATCTGGCCCCTCCGGACCCTGCATTCACTATATCTGGTCTCCCCGGGACCCTGCATTCACTATATCTGGTCTCCCCGGACCCTGCATTCACTATATCTGGTCTCCCCGGACCCTGTATTCACTATATCTGGTCTCCCAAAACCCTGCATTCACTATATCTGGTCTCCCCGGACCCTGCATTCACTATATCTGGTCTCCCCCGGACCCTGTAGTCACTATATCTGGTCTCCCCAAAACCCTGCATTCACTATATCTGGTCCCCCCGGACCCTGCATTCATTATATCTGGTCTCCCAGGACCGTGCATCCATTATACCTGGTCTCCCCGGACCCTGCATTCACTATATCTGGTCCCCCCCGGACCCTGCATCCACTATATCTGGTCTCCCCGATCCTGCATCCACTATACCTGGTCTCCATGGACCCTGCATTCACTATATCTGGTCTCCCCGGACCCTGCATTCACTATATCTGGTCTCCTCGGACCCTGCATTCACTATATCTGGTCTCCCTGGACCCTGCATCCTCTATATTTGGTCTCCCCAAACCATTGGCGGACTGACAACTCATGGGGCCCCCGGGCAATAGGGGATCATGGGGCCCCTGTGTCCTTGCCCAAACTCAAAAAAGCCTATGAAAAAGGTACCAGGGGCATCTCATGGGGCCCCCTACTGACCCCGGGCCCTCGGCCAGTGCCCGAGTTTCCAAATGGTCAGTCCGGCCCTGCACCGGACCCGCATTCACTATATTTGGTTTCCCCGCACCCTGCATTTACTATATCCCCCCGCACCCCTGCCTCCAAGGACTCTGCATCCACTATATCCGGTCCCCCAGGACCCTGCATCCACTATATCTGGTCTCCCCGGACCTTGCATTCACTATATCTGGTCTCCCCGGACTCTGCATTCACTATATCTGGTCCCCCCGGACCCTGCATTCACTATATCTGGTCCCCCCGGACCCTGCATTCACTATATCTGGTCTCCCCGGACCCTGCATTCACTATATCTGGTCTCCCCGGACCATGCATTCACTATATCTGGTCTCCCCGGACCCTGCATTCACTATATCTGGTCTCCCAGGACCCTGCATTCACTATATCTGGTCTCCCCGGACCCTGCATTCACTATATCTGGTCTCCTCGGACCCTGCATTCACTATATCTGGTCTCCCTGGACCCTGCATCCTCTATATTTGGTCTCCCCAAACCATTGGCGGACTGACAACTCATGGGGCCCCCGGGCAATAGGGGATCATGGGGCCCCTGTGTCCTTGCCCAAACTCAAAAAAGCCTATGAAAAAGGTACCAGGGGCATCTCATGGGGCCCCCTACTGACCCCGGGCCCTCGGCCAGTGCCCGAGTTTCCAAATGGTCAGTCCGGCCCTGCACCGGACCCGCATTCACTATATTTGGTTTCCCCGCACCCTGCATTTACTATTTCCAGTCTCCAAGGACTCTGCATTCACTATATCCGGTCCCCCAGGACCCTGCATCCACTATATCTGGTCTCCCCGGACCTTGCATTCACTATATCTGGTCTCCCCGGACTCTGCATTCACTATATCTGGTCCCCCCGGACCCTGCATTCACTATATCTGGTCCCCCGGACCCTGCATTCACTATATCTGGTCTCCCCGGACCCTGCATTCACTATATCTGGTCTCCCCGGACCATGCATTCACTATATCTGGTCTCCCCGGACCCTGCATTCACTATATCTGGTCTCCCAGGACCCTGCATTCACTATATCTGGTCTCCCCGGACCCTGCATTCACTATATCTGGTCTCGCCGGACTCTGCATTCACTATATCTGGTCCCGCCGGACCCTGCATTCACTATATCTGGTCTCTCTGGACCCTGCATTCACTATATCTGGTCTCTCCGGACCCTGCATTCACTATATCTGGTCTCTCTGGACCCTGCATTCACTATATCTGGTCTCCCAGGACCCTGCACTCACTATATCTGGTCTCTCCGGACCCTGCATTCACTATATCTGGTCTCCCAGGACCCTGCACTCACTATATCTGGTCTCTCCGGACCCTGCATTCACTATATCTGGTCTCCCACAGACCCTGCATAAACTGCTAAATACCTTTTCTCATCAGCAGTTAGAGCAGTCTAACTTCTATCAGTGTCCAGCGAAGCACTAGTTAAAGCTTGCAGGAGGAGTTTCCATTCTCCCCTGATTGTCCTATGAGACTGCATAACCCCTGACCGTCTGTCTGGACAGCGCTGATTAACTGATCACATGCAACCTCCCCCCCAAAAAAAAACCCTCTAGCAATACATACCAAACTGAGCATGTGCAGAGTGATTCCTAGTGCTCTGTTCTATCAGCAGATGGATTGGGGACAGTAGAAGAAGGGAGGATTAGAGAAGACAGGACCAAACAGCCGTTTTACACAATGCAGAGGATTAACCCCTTTAGGCACTAGTTAAAGCTTGTAGGAGGAGTTTCCATTCTCCCCTTATTGTCCTATGAGGCTGCATATCCCCTGACACTTTTAGCAGGACTGCGGCAGACATTCTGACACTAGGGGGGAACTAACTTGGTGTCACTAACATCTGCAGTGACAACAACACAGTGATCAGTGCTAAAAAAAGCACTGACACTGTACTAATGGCACTGAGCAGGAAGTGGTTAATGTGAGGGGCGATCAAAGGGTTAACTATGTGCTGGGAGTGTTTTACTAGGGGGCGGGGGGTGTTCTTCACTGTAAACACACTGATCGAGATGGCTGTACTGTGCACAGAGCAGTGCGCTTGAGCTGACAGGAAGGAAGATTGTTTATAAACAAAACAATCTTCCTCCCCGTTGGAGATGCTAAGTAATCACCGGGCGCCGGCGGGTAATTACCATCCGGGACCTGGTGATTGACATCCGTGGCCGCAAATGGTGGTACAGGTAGGGCGTGTGTGCACCTCGCATGCGCCCCCTACCCGGAAATGCAAAATCATGTATATATACGTGATTTTGTTAACAGGTGTCACCCTGTAGCAGTATATCTGCTATAGGGCGGTTCTTAAGCGGTTAAAGTAGAACTAAATCTAAAACTTTTTTTTTTCATTTTGGATAGAGGGAGGATTATAACCCCTCTCAGGTTTGTTTTTGGGGTTTTTTTGCCACCTGTGTTCTTTTGGGGAGATTCCCCTTCACTTCCTGTCCCGTAGCCAAAACAGAAAGAGGAAATCCCTCTAAAGTGAGGGAATGCATGGTTGTTGTCAGGGTCTCAGAGTCACCAGAAATAGTGTCCCCATTGGAAGATTCCCTCCCTATAACTGTTTTTATGGAAACCCAAAATACAGGATTTTCTTTCATTTTCACTCTTGGTGATAATGGTAAACAGAACAAATAGAGAGGGTGAATCTCCCTAATTGGGACGGAGGCAGCAATAAAAACCTGACAGTTCTTTAAATTCCTACATTTTTGCCTTTATGTATATTTTATCTCCTCTGATGCCAGTGTTCTCATTAGAGATGTGCACAATGGAAACATTTGTCTAATTTTGGATTCCTTTGTTGAGTCGATCATTTTGATTCGTCATATTTGTTATGTTAGAAGGATTCATTTTCAGAATTTGTTTCCTATATTCGGATTTGTTTCGTATATACATTTTTTTCAAATCAATTTGAATTTTGGATTTAGAAAGATGGCTATATTTGTTCTATTCTATTCTCTTATTTTCTATTCTTTTCTACTCTATTCTTTTATTTTATATCCTATTCTATTCATTTATTTTCTATTTTATAGTTTTCTATTCTATTCCATTCTTCAATTTTCAAATCAATCTGCATTTCGAATTTCGGCAAACGGCTATATTTGTTTCATTCTATTCTAATCTATTCTATTTTTTTTCTACTCTAGTCTTTTATTTTCGAATCTATTGTTTTCTATTATATTCCATTCCATTATTTTATTTTCTATTATTTTTAATTCTATTCTTTTATTTTCTATTATTTTGAATTCTATTCTTTTATTTTCTGTTTTATTTTATTCTTCCCATTCTATTAATTTTCTGTTTTAATCTATTCTATTCTTTTCTATTTTTTATATTATATTATATTTTTTTATTCTGTTACTTTCTATTCTATTTTATTCTAGTGTATTCTATAAAGCAATCAAAGTAGGAATCATCATCTTATTTCACTTTTATACCTTACTGTATTTATTGCAATATGTTTCCATTTCAAATTTGAATTTATTTTCAAATGTGGATAATTAATTTCATTATAATTTATTTTGGATTCAATGATATTCATTGCTACTGTGATTTAGATACATCTGAATCTCACAATAACAAAAATTTCACCTGAATTTTGATTTGTATCTAAACAAAAATCGCACGTGTCTAGTTCTCATTAACCAGGATTTGTCCCCCAAAGTGTGCAGGAAAAGGGATACTGCCAATGGGGACAAAATCGTAGGTCCCCTGCAGTGTTCTCTGGTTCTTGCCCCTGACCTTTCCATCACTATTGTCCCATGGGGGTTACTTACTAAAACTGGAGAGTGCAAAATCTGGTGCAGCTCTACAAAGGAACCAATCAGCTTCCAGGTTTTATTCTCAAAGCTTAACTGAACAAGCTGATATTAGAAGTTGAATGGCTGCCATGCAGAGCGGCACCAGGTTCTGAGGGCTCTGTTTTTTCTTTTTTTAGTTTGTAGATTCGAGGCAGCGTCACTTTAAATTACTAAGTAGTGTTTCTTGTAAAACACGTACAACCAAAATGTTGCCATAAAGTACAATCAATTATTCAGAATTTACATTTTTTTGCTTTCATTTGTTGAAACCTGGTAAGAGATCAACGTTTACTGATCCCTTTTGTTTTGTTTCAAGGCATTTGTTGGCGAATCTTCCTTTTGTCGGGCTTATGAAAATTACCGATTATTTCCCTTTAACACCCAGCAAGGACACAGGTAATGTCTGTTTCTTGTCTTTTACAGCTGGTAGAGCCAATACAGAGTCCTTTTTTTGTGGTTTATAATAGTTGTAAACAACTTTAATTTTTTGGGTTACAATAGGGGGTTATCGGTGGTGATAGATTTAGTATTCCTCATTGGGGAAATTTCCTTGTACTGTCTCGGTGGCTGTTGACTTTGGGACGGGAAGCGAAGAGGAATCTCTCCCGTGTAGAGACAGAAAGAAAATGTTGGCTGGGGTCCTAACCAATCCATGCGTGTTTTTTATTTTTGCCCAATTAAAAAAAACCATTTTGTGTTGCGCTCCACAAACAATATACACAAAAATCAATTAGTGCAAAACAAACTGATTACTAATATATTTCCATAACGTGATATTATCAATCACGCTAGTAATGCATGCATATCTTCACATATAAAGTCCTCAAAAGGAATCCTCAAAACAATCCGTGATTCTATAGTGTCTTCTATGATATATATAAAAAAATGGAAAATAAAAATGTGAACCCAATGGAGAGATTTCTCTCATTTCCTGTTTCCCTGTAAGATGCAGGAGCCTCTTCTCCTGAGATCTGGGATCCTAAGCATTTCCCAGGATTGCTCCGAAAGGACCATTCCCTGGTCTAAACACATCACACATCCCATAGTCCACAGGCCATCTTGAAAGTAAGCAAGACAGGGTGGCTATGTTACTACATAAAATGGGACCATAGAGAACAAACATAGTCACCCTATACTAGGATCACAACAACAGCAAAAAAAAAAAAAAATAGGAGATTTGGAAGAGTTTGAGCGGAAGGGACTTCTTGAGCTAAGAATAAAGACTTCAATAGAGTTTTCCTTTTTTTTTTTTAAACCAGCAGGTTAATGTCACCTTATCAATTGTCATAATGTTTAACCATTTCAATACCGGGCAATTTTACACCTTCCTGCCCAGGCCATTTTTCAGGTTTCAGCGCTCTCACATTTTGAATGACAATTGCGCGGTCATACAACATTGAACCCAAATTAAAATGTTATCATTTTCTTCACACAACTAGAGCTTTCTTTTGGTGGTATTTAATCACCGCTGGGGTTTTTATTTTTTTGCTAAATTAACAAAAAAAAGACCAAAAATTCTGAAAAAAAACACGTTTTTCTTTGTTTCTGTTATAAAAGTTTACAAATAAATATTTGTTCTTCATAAATTTAGGCCGAGATGTATTCTGCTACATGTCTTTGGTGAAAATAACCCAAATTAGGATGTATTATTTAGTTTGTAGGAAAGTTATAGAGTTCACAACTATGGTATAGATCTGAATATTGATCAATCCTGAAGTACTGACGGCCAATCTAATTTCTTGAGGTCCAAGAATGTCAGAATAGTACAGATATCCCCCAAATGACCCCTTTTTGCAAAGTAGACAGTCCAACGTACTTCATAAGAGGAATGGCGAGTTTTTTGAAGTTGTATTTTTTTTTTCATAATTTTTTGGAAAATGAAAAATTAAAAAAATTATTTTCACTATTTTTTTTTACATATTGTCACCAGTGCAGTACAGCATCATCATATAACTGGCATGGCGGTGATCAGGGACACTGACTGGTGACAGTATGAAAAAAAATTATATCTATATATATTTTTTCATTTTTTTTAAATTTTTTATTACATTTTTTTAATTTTTTTTAAGATTTTTTTTTCATATTTTACTATGACCAAAGTAGTACAATGTTACCATAGTAACATTGTACTACTTTGAGGAAGTGATCAGTATTTATTTTTTTTTTTACATAATTTGCTTATAGCAAAGAATTACTTTGCTATAAG